TTGTTTTAATCTAAGGCTGGAGCACAGGAACTTGTGACAGGCAGAGGTAATCCCGCTAGAGATGAGAACGCGACGAGAGGTCAGTGGGTGCCAGACTATGGAGAACCTGCCTGGCTGGTTACAGAATGTGATCTTTGTCCTACTGGCACTTGGCAGGGGACAAGCATAAAGCAGGATGACAGAGGGGAAAACATACAGAATCATGGGGATTCATGGTGAGAGAGGCAATGGAAAGGGGGTGGCAACAGCTCAGATTAGGAAAAGGCCACCCAAAGGAATTGGGATGGAAAGAGAGGACAGGATTTATGCTACTTAGATTTTCCATTCATAAAATCTAATTCAATTATGCAGAGTATCCAAGGAACCAATGGTAGTGATCAAAAGACAAAAAAAAACAAAAAAAAAACAAAGATCATGAACACCTAAAAATATAACTGATTAAAATTTCATTAACTCTCAGGCTCTATGCAGGAATAGAGGGACCAACAAGATACAGCCATGCTCTTAAGCCTTTTAAATGTCAACAAGAAAAGCAAGCATGTAAACAAAATAAATATATGATCTGTATGTGTAGCACATGGAAATTATACAGGAAAAACCTGGGACCAAAGTAGAAAATATTGCACAATACATATGCAGACCTTATTTTATGCATAGCTATAAAATAAGAATGTCTCAAATAGCTGTTACTTTTAAAGTGAATAGCTTACCTCTTTGTACCTATTTTACTAGCCTAATCTTTTGCCATTTTACTAGCCTAATCTTTTGCCACAAAGTTTACAATTCATTTTTTTTATAATTAAATGTCAATTGATACTGTCCTACTTAACTTCAAATCAAAGGGGCTGGCAAAATACATGTAAACAGAGCATGTTATAAGGATTTGGGGTATAATCAAGAATAATATTAAACTTGATTTTATAAGTGTATTCTCTAGCTACAATCTATTTTGAATGACCTACCTAAAATCTACCTATAAGCATTTAATTTTAGTCTTCTACTTCCTGTTTCAAGATTCTTGAAATTCTACTTATCTAGAGTATTGACAGGGCTTTCTATAAACTTACTGCCTGAGTGAGATTGTAAACGAAAATGGTAAAAGTTTCTTTTCCAATACAAGAGCTCTGCAGAAAAGGCAGCTCTGGATCCATAGGATTAAGGCAGTATTTTCAAGTAGCTGTAATTACTTCCATACTACGAACACACACCAAATGCCAGAAAAACATTGTTATAAGTTAGCACATAGCTATTTCGTATTGAGCAAACAATTGAAGAATTTAAGGCAGAAATCACCAAAAGAAGTAATAGCTGACACGTCATAAAACTTTCTGAAATGTATAGCCTATATTTAAGTTTTATGAATCTTATTGCTAAACAAAAATTTCAAAATACATGGCGTTTTAAAGCAAACAACACATTTAAAATTTTTGGTTTGGCTATAAAAAAATCACTGCTTCAATTAAAGCATTCCCACTTTTCTTTTCTAGATTACTAGAGTCCCTTCTAAATTGGTCTCTGGCATCTTCCAGATTGTTCTGCTTCAACCCATTCTTCCTGGTCAGAGTAATTGTTAATCTGATCATGACATTCTCCTATTCTAAAAATCCTTCCGCAATTCCCCATCAATTGATGAATGAAATGAAGAGTCCTTAGCATTGATATAGAAAAGTTATTCAAGACCTGGCCCCAGATACACCTGTCTCATAAAACCACTTTCCATTCTTAGAACAGGCCATGTTCACACGCCAGCAAGCCCGTCTTCTCCTGCCTGCTACATCCTTCCCCACCCTGTCCAGCTCTTAGTCCTACACAATTTAGTTGTGCCTTAACCTGTACTTGTGTGTGTCCCCTCTGTACCCAGTGGTACCCCGCATACATTTTTGCTCTTTAACACAATGGCTGCTTGTCCGTTTTTCTAACTAGAATGTGAACCCATTAAATTCAGAGACTGTATCTTTCTCTCTGCATCCCAGAGCCCAGGATTATTCCTGGCACTATGAAGGCACTCAAATATCATTTGTTCAAGGAATAAAAATATAATCGGTATCAAACAGGTTCTCCATTTGTGCCTGCTTACCTAAATCAGAAAACACTGTTCCATTGGGAACAGTGTAATAACACACAATCCTCTTTTCTTCTTAATGAAGTAATATACTCGCATACACGTATATATACAGAGAGTGTCAAAAAAATGTGTACACATTTTAAGAAAAGAAAAAATTGTATTGAAATTACATTGATGGTGATCACTTTGAGCAGCTCTTGTAATTGCAGGAGTCAAACGTGACTTGTATTCATCTTTTGTTATCGACATATATTGAGTATTATAATTTTAATGTCATTTTTTCCTTTCTTCAAATGTGTACACATTTTTTTGGCACCCTCTATGTGTGTATATATGTGTGTGTATATGTGTGTGTACACATGTGTATGTGTGTACGTGTGTATACACACACACACACACACACACAGAGGAGGTCTGACAATTAAGTTCGCGAACTTGTTACAACTATGTTGCTAACCTTTTTTGATATCAGAGAGATTATTCATTATTAATTTGTGCCAACTGGACAAACAGTTAACCAAGTTTACTATTTTGAAGTGCTGAAAAGGCTGCGTGAAAAAGTTAGACAACCTGAACTTTTCGCCAACCATTCATGGCTCTTGCATCACAATGCACCAGCTCACATGGCACAGTCTGTGAGGGAGTTTTCAGCCATTAAACAAATCACTGTATTGGAACACCCTCCCTACTCACCTGATCTGGCCCCCAATGACTTCTTTCTTTACCCAAAGATAAAGGAAATATTGAAAGAAAGACATTTTGATGACATTCAGGACATCAAGGATAATACGATAACAGCTCTCATGGCCATTCCAGAAAAAGAGTTCCAAAACTGCTTTGTAGGGTGGACTAGGCGCTGACATTGGTGCATAGCTTCCCCAGGGGAGTACTTTGAAGGTGACTGTAGTTATATTCAGCAGTGAGGTATGTAGCACTTTTTCTAAGATAGGTTCGCAAACTTAACCATCTAACCTCGTGTGTGTGTGTGTGTGTGTGTGTACTGTGTATGTGTATATATAGTGTGCGTGTGTGTATTGTGTGTGTGTGTATAGTGTGCGTGTGTGTATTCTGTGTGTATATATAGTGTGCGTGTGTATGTGTATCTGTGTGTACATATAACATATATATGTGTGTGTGTGTGTATATATACATATATATATTATATATATATGTATGTATATTAACAATGTACCATCCACTCTCATTCTGCATCATCTTTGCCTAAAGGTATAAGGACCAAGTGGGGCTGGGGGCAGAAAATTACTCAACAGGAACAAGGTCATTTTCAGTTGATGTAAAAATGCAACACCAAAAAATTAGGAGAGAGTAGATACAGATACTCAAAACGTTGCACTCTCAGATGTCTGCCTAGCAAAGAAAAAAAAATTAACAAAAGAGACTCAAAAGGTTTGGGGTGTTGCTCTCAGACTCTTAAAAATACGAGGGAAAGAGAAACATGTTCAAGTTCACATAATCTCAAACCATGTGAAAGATGACAAGCTGTTCCTATTGTTCTCACAGTTT